AGGAGTAGTCTGTTGAACGCACTTTTTTGGAATTATTATCAAGCTTTCACAAGGTCATATTTGTTTTCAATACTGATGAGAATATATATCATTACTCTATTTTGGTAAATATTTATCATTTGACAGTTAAAAAGTGCTTGTAAATCGGAATTTACATCGCGTAAAAACAAACCGTACGCGCATCGCCACAGCGCAAGTTGTTTACAAATTGGGGTATCCAACGGGGAAATTTAGTGTGTATATTACCCGTCTGGCTCGGTTATATCAATTTCTTTCAGGTGATCAATATCCAATCAAAAAGGCGAAAAAAAAATCTGGAAGGGTAATAAAAACTATATAAACGTCACGATTATCTAATGAAAAATGACGTTACAAACGTGCAGTATTATACTGTGGTCTATAACCTTCACTGCAAAAAGAAACGTAGTTTCATCTTTTCAATTATTTTCTTCAAAAGTATGGTAAACTTTATAACTCTATTAAACATTATAGTACAAGTATGTTACATACCAACTTCTTTACAAGCGGACATGTCATACTAGCGAAGTTTTGTTTTAAAGGCATATAAAGTAGTATTTCGTTCATTTAAAATGTGTACGTCATTGTATAGGCTCACTGAATGAAACGATACAATACCTCGCTTTGAAATTTGATATGATAAAGTAAACTAAAAGAAAATATCCTAAGCATAGCGATCAGATTAAATAGTAAATATTATTTAACTACATGTATTAATTATGTCTTTAATTAAGACACGATTGTCTACAAGGTATAATGGGATATATGTTTTTGTAAATGCTTTTGGAAAAATCAGCGCGCAAGATAAAATAGATGGCGTTATATCAGGAATCGGAACTTGTTGTTCGGTAATTATTACTAAGAGGAGAAATAAAACTAACAAGATTAAAGGAAACACTACATTCAATGTCTCTTTTAAAGGTGACGTCACTAACAATTCTGCTAATATCACATCTTCACGTTGCGGCAAATGTCAAGGTGAAAATGTAGAAACACAAAATGAACATGACATAGAAGAGTTGCCTTGTAGTCTATGTGACGAGGTTCGGAATATCACAAATTACTGTTTAACGTGTAATTCTCTTACATGTTCTCAATGTGAGCCTGATCATCTAAGTGGTGAGCATGAATTTGTTAAACATGACAGAAAATCAGGAATGGAAGCTCATGAAACGTGTCCAAAACATAAAAAATATGACCTTGACCTATTTTGCCTTCAGTGTAAAACATACATATGTGTAGCGTGCAAAGTGATATCACATGTAAATCACTATTGTTTTGATCTGAAATACATGTATGATACAAACTTCGTAAAGCCAGAGAAATACATCGATGAAGAAAAAACACATAAAAGTTTCAACTATAACTTAAATGTTGAGCAAACGGTTTCAATAGCAACAGGTGTTTTTTGGAACAAATCTACGACAACAGAAAATGTTAAATGTGTTTGTTTAACCTTTCCGTTTTAGTATTCATTCTTTATATCCAAAATATTTTAATATGCAGTTATGATCTGTTTTGATACAAATAAAGACAATAAACAAATTGATATCATATTAATTTTGTGATTTAATGTTACAAATGAAGTTTCTTAAGGAAAAAAATACTTTTAAATAATATTTGAAAAATCTGAAAAGTTTCAAAACGTTCATTATATGAATCATTTTGCTTAAGTAGTTTAGTAGCTCAAAGTAGCTTTAATTATATATTAACTTAAATGCATCTTCGATATGTTTGATATGCATTTCGTTCTATGCATAACTGCAGCTTAAAAATATTCATGCAATATAGGCTTCAGTAGTCTGATGTATTTGTTGCGGGGGGTCACGTGACTTTGTGTCTTGCAGCAGACATTCCACCTGGTTGTAGTACTTGTGGCAAGTGTCCCTATTCAAATTGAAAGTTGTTGGATTTCATGATGGAGAACGTCTCCTCGGCTTTATAGCAACCACCTTAACAACCACCAGGATGATATCTGCTCATACGTATCCGAAAATACTGATACTTTCAGAAAGGGGTAATGTCATTCTGAAAAACTATTATAATGATAACTGTAGAAGCACTTAAAATGATTATATTTGTTAAATCAAGATGATAAAATGTTACACTTTTCATGTATAGTAAAACCTATGTTAAAACTACTATTGAACAGGAATCACCTGTCCCTAATGACCATTTTGTTTCCAAATTTCACATTTACAGTGTATTTAACCAGTAAATAAAGACCGCCTGTCAATGAAGATCGCATGTTGGCTTTTATATTACACGAGTGATCTTTATATATAGATTTGACTGTAATGTATGGACTACATAGTTATGGTTCGAGTATGTTGTGGTAAAATATTTTACAGTTTTTAGATTTAGAACAAAACAACATAATATGCAGCTTAAATTATGAAGTATTAAGGTCGAGTAGCCTGTTTGTGTGGTCATTAAGACCTGACCGTATCAGGCCTGGAACCTTCCATATCTGCAAAATATGAAAAATGACAACTGTAATTTTCTTGCATATCAGACAGGATTTTATCATGCCATTACTATGACAACTGCCTGATAAAGCCTGTCTGAGAACATCAACCTTTCTCAGTCAGTGACTTGAGAACACTATGTTCCTACGCCAGATCAGCATTGATGATGTTTATTGTTGGTATTGTTTAATTGACTTTGCTGAATATTTATGATAATACACAGTAAATAAATTTTTAAAACAGATTGTACCAAAAATTGTGTTGTGTTATAAAATTATTGGTAAAAACCCTCGGACTACTTTTTTGGCGTAAAACCCTCTTGTGGTTACCGTACTTTCAGAAATTTAGCGCCCCGAATTAAAAAAATAAGATGCAAAGTCATAATAGAGGCATGATAAAAAGAATAACAGGTTACTGTCTTTTGAGGAAGGGATTTCTCAGACTCGGCTAGATATGGTCCGGAAGGGGCTCGGCAAGCCTCGCCCCTTCCAGGACCATATCTAACCTCGTCTGAGAAACCCTTTCTCAAAAGACAGTAACCTGTTATTCTCTATATCTACCGTTTACACCGGTGCTAGAAAACTCTATCTTACACCCCCCATGTAAGACAAGTCGCGTACATTTTAAATGACGTCATTGACGCGAGCCTTTTATGAATGAATTGTGTTCTTAGGATGACGTCACTTAACCGTTATGAATGAAGTTGTAAGTTCATACGCTACTATAAGAAAAAGTGCGTTATGAAAATATCCGTTTTTGTAATTTCTGTTCCGAAAATAATTGATATTAATATGCAAGAAAAAGAATCAAACACCAGCTGTCAGTGCAGACGGGAATATCTAGCTCTCGGGTAACTGTTTAGCGGAAACTCGGCAGAGTTTCGTTACCGCCGTAAACAGTTACCCTCGAGCTAGATATTCCGGTCTGTACCGGCAGCCAGTGTAAGATTCTTATAGTGCTAAAATTGAAATACATGACCTCCTAATATTTGAGACCTTGTTTAAATTTCTGCGATTGTATTTAAAAACTTCATTTAATATATTCACATGAGTATAATTCTGCTACTTATAGGGGCTTGATTCTATCCAGGACCTTTTGGCGGTATTTTTAATATTATTCAAAATTCTATGAAAGCTTAAGACTATATGCATCAATCATGATTTTGTGATATCAGTATCTGGCTAAAACAAGCAAAGATACTGCTTGAAACAATTAAAATACCCGTGTCCGTTACCCAAATCATTTTGGAATAAAAAATGATTAGTCAACATTCATCATGCCTAACCTTTTACATTTTCAAATAACACGAGGGAGGAAGTGTTACACGAGGGATGGAGTTCCTATGATAACTTGTCAAGGAGTTCTTGTGTTTGATAACTGTCACGGAGTTCGTCGGAAAACTATTGTATATACTGCAAAAAACACTCGTCAAAAATGGTAATTTTCATCTTTAAAAAGTGAGTTTTAGGTGCTAAATTAACCTTTAATTTACCTATTGCATTATGTGTCAAAAACTTATTCACAGTCCAGTGTTCATCGCCTCTTGCTTAAAATCTGGTAGTTTTTATTAAAATTTTCAAATTATTTGCCATTTCGCAAGTATTGGCCTGTTTATTTCAAGTCTTCATCCTTGCCATACATAATTACCGAAGTATTACCGTGACAGTTATCACAAGAACTCCTTGACAAGTTATCATAAGAACTCCATCCCTCGTATAATACTTCCTCCCCCGTGAGTAAAGACATTTAACCTTTTCTCTTTGCTAACTCGATGGCATTGAATATTCTCGTGTTTGTAAAATCTTCAGGGGTGGAAAATAAGATATAGGCGACAACATTTCGTTATTCCGCGTAGGCTGCAATAGGTCCCGTATGTAAGTTAAAGGGATATAATAAAGAAGTACCTGAAAATACACGTGAAGCCGCATTATTGTCAGTACGCGTTACCATAAAAATCACTGGATTCCCTACCGTGATAACCGTATAAATCGGTTTGTATTTTGATTCTAAATGATATTATGAAACACAGCTTACTGCCAGTTTATGACAGGTAGATATCACCATTTACTTTAAGAATAAAAGAAAATTAACTTCTCACGTACAAGTAAGGATAGGTGAGTTATTGATAAGCCTTGGTTCAATTTTGTTACATTTATATTTGATTGAAACTTTAAAAGGATTTACAGTATTTGTTCGGGATAATCAAATAAATAACACATGGGTTTGTGACTAACAGTAGAGATATCATCCCTCGTAAAAATATATCACCTCGGGATGATATTTTTACTGTTACATACAAACCTATACATACAAACCAAATGTGATATTTATATAATGTTATTATTATTGATATTTTCAATGATATGTTACACTTGAATCACATTAGTTTAAAAGTAAGAGATAACATCAAGGATATCCATTACTTCCTCTGATAAATAATATAATATCATTGTTCGAAATGTTTAAAAGATCAAAAGATTTTATCAAAAACTTACATCCTATGTTTTCAGGATTTTCTTCCTTTCAACATCACAAACTGTATAAACCTATATCCCATTATGATGTTGATAACTGTTTGAACAGTGTGTACATGTATTATCGAACAGTGTAACGCATAGCAGAATGTTAAGAGTACAGTTCATGATTTTGTCAGCCTTAATTGCACTTATTGTTGGAAAACAATTGATAGACAGGGAATTTGAACTTAAAAAGGGTAACTGTTAAATATTGAGCATATTTGTTTATAAAGAGAGGAAAAATAGTATTTCTTTTTGGATATCAGCAACCTTTAAAGTTAAATAAAAAATTCTGTATTCCTTAGTGAGTTTATAGGTTTTTTTTCCATGAGTCAATTATGTCGATTTCGGGACAGCAATAAGTAACAGATGACTTTAAGAAGGGCATTTGTTTTAGATTTAACTTATAACAAGTTTCGTTCGATCATTTGACACGTTTTCACGGTGATTTTTTTTCATAATTTTGTTAAGGCGATGTTCTGGATGATCTCTCTGCATGTCTATGTAAACTGGGATATGGTTGTGTCTGTACTGGTCACAATGGCAACTTTAAAGGTAAGAGAACTTTTTTGTAGCGTATGTCATGTCATAGTTGTTTTCGAAAGATGTTTTAGATTGGGTAAGCTTTTACAATTCTGAATCAATTACATCATCGGTAACCCAGGCTATATACCCTATACATGTATCGGTTAAATGTAGTATATACGGAATGTGTACCGTGGGTTCCGACAAGTCTAATATAACTAACAAGAGAAAGGGGGAGAGTTGATATTCGTTAGCCTAAATGAATTTGGTTCGCTTCTATTGTTGGAAACTGTTGAAATGTTGTTGCAGTTATAAGGAAAACTTGAAATCAAATTTGTTTTGCATATTTCAGCTACTGTTGCTTTCTTTGAAAGTCATGTAAAATCTGGGCGAGACACTGTGATTTGGGCATACTTTAAAGTCGGAGATGAGCATTTTATGAAGCGTTTTACAGGTTTCTTAAAAATTGTTTTAGTTAAAGATATTAAAAAGCATTGATGTATTTAAATTTTATCTAGACGTTATAAAGAATTCAATAAGAAAGCCTTATCAAAAGATAAAACTAATATGTGTATTGACTTTTAAAATGGTATACTTGTGATGAGCAAGTTCTTCTAGGATAGTTACTATTTTTTGTTTATTATTATTATTATTATATGCCCGAAAGAATTTCGGATCGGACATTTTATGTTATACCCCCTGGCGTCCGTCCGTCCGTTCGTCTCTCGTCCGTCCGTCCGTTAGCAATTTGGTTTCCTGAGCATAACTTAAGTTCCATTCGGCCCACAATATTCAAACTTCATAGGATGATTGTCCTATTGAGTAGAAGAACCTAGTTAAATGTCAAAGGTAAAAACAATACCCTTTTAAAATGAAAACAGTTTTGCTCAAAATTAAAATTTAAATATTTTACAATACGCTTAAAAAATTTTTGGTGAAACCATGTTAATTCATGACCCTTTGTTTTAGGGTTAAAATCAAAACAGGGTCAAAAAGATCTTTACACGAAAAAATTTTGGTTTCGGGGATAAATTTAAATTCCTTTTTGGCCCCAGTTTAAACTTCATAATGGTTGTAATTTGGTAAAAGCCCCCTATTTTTTTTTAATCAAAATGTCAAAGGTCACTTTACTTTAAAATGAAAAGGGGTTTTTGTAAATAACTAAAGTATTAATTAACCTACACTGTAAATTTAATAGATTAACAGCCATGCCCAAAACATGCCCCTATTGTTTTAGATCATTAGGTAAAAGGTCAGGCAAAAATGATTTTACACTAAAAAATTGTGTTTTCGAGCAAAACAAATTTCATTTGGCCCCAGTTTCAAACTTCATAGAATATGCGAATTGATAAAGCCCCCCTTTTAAATTTTGGTCAACAAAGGTCAAAGGCAACTTTTTATGTGAACACTTATATGAGTACATTAATAATGCCCCAAAAAAAGTTATATTATGTACAACCCCCGGGGCTTTCCGTCCATCCCTCGTAGCATTTTTATTACAAAATAAAACTTTGGTGGTGTTTTTAAAAATATGAAAAGGGTTTTTCAGCTAAAAAGGAAAAAGAGGATTTTTTGAAAGGGGGTAATATTATTTTAATGTGTTTTATGTATCTTTTTTCATTTTGTATACATTGTTTTCCTTTTAAATGGGGACAAGAAATATGGTTTTTTTACGAAGTCCAAAATTTTTTTTTTAAAACCCTTTTTGGGGATATAATGCTCCGCCTAGGGTGCTCTTGTTGTTTTTTTTTTTATTATTATTATTATATTTTATTTTTAAAATTTAATTTTATTTTATTTTTATTATTTTTTATTTTTTTATTATTTTATCATTATTTAGTGTCGCCAAAAATTTTTTTTAAACCCCAATCACGACGGTTTTTTCAAATTTTCAGTTTAAAATTTAAAAAATTTTAATAAATGACGTTTTTTTAAAACGCAATGGCGGAGCACTTAAACCGTTGAGGAATTGAAAGTTTTCGTAAAAAAAAATACAGTCCTTGCAACTCCCTTCTTTTTTAGCTTTTTATTACGAAAAAAAATATTCCTTAAACCTTCTTTTCTGGTTAAATTTTTTTATAAACATTTTTAAATTGGCACCGGGATTTCCTTATTATTCAAAAAAATGGATATTAACAAAATCTAAAAAAGACAACCCCGGGGCCCAATTTAACATGTTCTATAAAAAAAGATAACTCCTACGTAGGATTTTGCAAGTCCTACGTAGGACTTTATAACTCCTACGTTGGAGATAAAAAAAAGCCTAATAAGGAGTTTATAACTCCTACGTAGGAGATATAATAACCTAATTAGGAGTTTTAAAGTCCTACGTAGGAGTTTAAAAGTCCTACGTAGGAGTTTATATCTCCTACGTAGGACTGTATAAGTGTTCCTCTACGTAGGAGTTTTAAAGTCCTACGTAGGAGTTATAAACTCCTAATTAGGCTTTTTATCTCCTACGTAGGAGTTATAAAGTCCTACGTAGGACTTTATAACTCCTACGTAGGACTTAGAAAGTCCTACGTAGGAGTTTATATCTCCTACATAGGACTGTATAAGTGTTCCTCTACGTAGGAGTTTTAAAGTCCTACGTAGGAGTTATAAACTCCTAATTAGGCTTTTTATCTCCTACGTAGGAGTTATAAAGCCCTACGTAGGAGTTGCATAGTCCTACGTAGGACTTTAAAACTCCTAATTAGGTTTTTATATCTCCTACGTAGGAGTTATAAAGTCCTACGTAGCACTAATAAAGTCCTACGTAGGACTTACAAACTCCTACGTAGGAGTTATAAACTCCTAATTAGGCTTTTTTATCTTCTACGTAGGAGTTATAAAGTCCTACGTAGGACTTGCAAAGTCCTACGTAGGAGTTATCTTTTTTATAGAACATGTTAAATTGGCACCAGGACTCTTCCGTATATTACTTCAAAACAATGGAATATAACAAAAATCTAAACAAGACAAAAATAAGTTATAATGATGATATTATATTTTCACCTTTCACACCAAGATCATAACGTCTTAAACTACACACTTGAAAATAATAGTAAATTTTACAGATTTTACAAACTTTATGATATTTATATTTGTCTTAATAAATAACCAACTCTATCTATCCTTAACCGCCATGGTAATGTAGAATTAAACATACTAAAGTTACAGGAGACTATGACATGTTAAACGTTGCAATATTCAATAAATTAAATTTTTGTTCTATAGCCAATATTTATATTGTATAACTCTAATTTTATATGCTATACTATAATATTTATTCTATCCTACTAAAAAAATATTTGTGTGCGATAATTTTCTAAATATATGTTTTATATTTTAAAATATATATTCTATAATTTAAAATATTTATTCGATACAGAACTGAAAAATATATTTATTCGATAGTTTGAATCATGGGATGGAACACTTAGCATACAAAACCCGACTATAAAGTAAGCACGAATTTCTGATAAAGCGTTATTATCCTGATACAATAGTGTAGTGGAAATGATCAGCGTCCCTGCTAATGACACTTGTAAATACATGTAGTGCACATGCTTAATCCTCCTTATAAATGTATATGTATATGTAAAAATGAAAATAGATAAGATGTGTGAAGTTGGCGGCCCAGCGGCCTGGCGGCGTGAAGTTGGCGGCCGGTGGCCCAGCGGCTGGCGTGAAGTTAGCGGCCCAGCGGCTGGCGGTCAAAAAATTAAATGTTGCAGAAATGTTATTTAATCAATAAAACGGCATTTAATATTTCTGTATTTTCAAATAATAGTTAAATGTAATCAATTCTTAGTAACCTATTTGATTAAACACAAAATCACATATTTGTTTACAATTCACTTCCCGGGGAGTTTAGGTATAGAACCTCTAAATGTAAAAAAGTCTAATCGTCACAGAATATATCAGAACAACCTATTGCAAATGTTTGAGATACATTTTAAAACAATCTTATTTTTTCACTCGGCTGATATGTTTGATAACTAAAATGTCAATTATTTTCATGAATAATACGTTTTGCCTGTTTTGCAAAAAAATATGTCCGTTGCGCCAAAAAAAAATCCGTTAAGTATTTTAGTCATACCTTTTTTTTCCTGTCCGAATTTGGTTCACATCATTAGGATATAGACTGATTCCTTGACACTTTATATTGGGTAAATAAAGAAAAAGAATATGGTATTTTAACACGTCACTATCACTTCAGTTAAACGTTTATTTTAATTCTTTAAAGCTCGGTTACATGTTGTCAGAAAAACTATTTTTATTTGAGAATATGAAAACAGTGTTATTTTATTAAAAGAAAAAATAGACAAAGCAAGACTAAAGTTTTCCCCATTGATGGATAGAATGCATATCTACTAGCTGTCGCATGTACGCAGCGTCTAATGTACTTTGTATACGACCAACGAGGAAGAATGTAATGCCACACAGTTGTATTAAATCACGAGGAAAAATTACTGAATCTGGAAAATGTTTGTCATAGACAGATAGATGAATAGGTTATAGATTCATATACTTGAATCATGTCATTATGAACGCTGTTACTATTTTGTCAACAGGTCTTTGCATATAATCATTTGTCAATGAAAGTTAGCTTTTATTCAAGTACGTACATGTATTTGGAACAAAACTAAATCATATCTAAAAAACTGCTTTCTATAAAGCCAGTTGAAGCATGGATGTAACGTAGCAGATATATGTCAGTGAAACAAGATAAGTGGTCAGTTATTAGTGCAAAACCATCCACGGCAAATACTTTATAAATACAAACTGGAAGTTATAATAGTAACAAGAGGGCCATGATGGACCCAAAATCGCTCGTCTGTATATAAAAACTCTCCATGACAATGAAGGAACAAGTATTATTGTAAACTATAAACAAAAATAGATATAAAATATATATAAAAATCTGATATAAAAAAAACAACATATTTGTATCTGAAATAGTGTGTCTTCAGTTGTTGTCTTAGTAATAACCAGTACTCGTCGGGGGATATAAATTCAACGATTTTGCTTGTTATATATACATATAAAGAAAATCAATTACCCATTTCCCCCCGGTCCGGGGCAGTTTTAACCCCAGGGCTTTAATTTGAACAAACTTGGTAGACACTCACTAGAAAAAAGTGTTCATGCTTAATATCTAAGCTCTAGCTCTTTGGGGTTTTGAAAAGGAGATTTTTTTTTTGAGATGTTACTGTACACACGTAAGGAAAGTCAATGACCCCCTCGTGGGGCCAATTTCAACTTTTGGCCAGGGCTTTTATTTGAACAAACTTGGTAGACACTCATCAGAAGATGTTTCATGCTTAATATCTAAGCTTTTGGTTTTTAAAAGAAGATTTTTTTAAGTTTTTACTATATACATATAAAATGTCAATAACCGCCGAGGGCGGGGTCAATTTTTACCAAAGAGGTATAATTTGAACAAACTTGGTAGACACTTACTAGAAGATTTCTCATTCCAAATATCTTAGCTCTAGCTTGTGAAGTTTGGATGAAATTGGCTTAGC